TCTCAGGGTTCCTCCCACCCCAGACCTCCTCCCCAGGCACCACACCCCTTTCCCGCCATAGCACTCTCTACATAGCCCCCCTTTCTATGTCTCCAGCAGAGCAGGGAAGGGGAGCAGCCATGAAACAGGGAGGGGGCCTCCTGAGCCAGAGCTGGGGCTGAGGGGCAGCATGGGGCTCACCCTTATCATCCCCTTCTGCCTCCCACTCAGGCCCATCCCACCCAAGTCTCTGTGGCTGCTTCCCCTGAGTGAGACAGAAACTCTCCCAGTTTCACAATCTCCTGTGGAATGCCCCCCACCCCCACCAGCCCAGGCTGGGGACAGGGCTTGAGGCCACTTTCCTCCAGCCAGTCACAGCCTAGGCCCTAAAGGCTGCCGCCCCATGTGTCTGAATTACAGATTTCTTCACCAACTACCGCCCCCCACAGACGCCCACGCCTTCAAACTTCTTGGAGCCCCCTAGCTTTAGCCCCATGGCTGATTCCTTCTTCAGCAGTGGGATCCTGGGTCCAGAGGTGACCGCTGCCTCTTCGGGCTTGACCCACCTCTCAGGACATGGCCGCCTGCAGGTGAGCTCACCCACCCACCCAGCCCTGCCTGGCTCACCTGAGACCTGGCCCTGACCTCACATGTACCCAGCAGATGTTCAGTTTTGGGCTTAACAGTCTGGAGGGGAAGAGTGGTCCCGTGTCTGCCCTTGGGAACACAATCCAACTGGAGAGGGGAGACCTGTGAAATAGAACTGCCCAAAATGGTGGAATAAGGCTGAAGGGACCATGAAGTGGGCTACCACCAAGGACTGGGTTGCTTGTGGAGGGCTTCCTGGAGCTCTCTGGGCTTCTAGAGAGATTGGTCAACAGCAAGCCAGATGGGAGGAAGAGAAAGAACAAAAGCATGGAGGAAAAGGCTGAGCATGCATGTCTAGGAAACAGTGAATCAAATAGCCGGGCGTTGTGGCGGACGCCTGTGGACCCAGCTACTCAGGAGGCTAAGGCAAGAGAATCACCTAAGCCCAAGAGCTGGAGGTTGCTGTGAGCTGTGACGCCACAGTGAGACTCTGTCTCTTAAAAAAAAAAAAGAAAAGAAACAGTGAATCTATGGGCTTACGAACGCCCTAGGCCCAATTTGGATGTTGCCTCTTTGCTGCTGGAATATAGCCCTTTTCCCTCCCTCATCAGACTTTTCAGGCACTTTTGTAGTTGGTTGTTGAGGGGTCTCTGTCCTCTAGCACATAGTGCTGGCAGGGCTATATTTTGCTCACCACTATCTCCTCTGGACCTAGTGCAGTTCAAGCTCATAACAGCATTAGCACATGGGTCCAGTGAGTGAATGAGTGAGCACGTGGATGAGTTTGTGACTGTATGGGTAGGTGAGTGGGTGGTTAGATGGATGGGCTGGTAGATGGATAAATAGTTTAATGGCTCAATGAATGGGCTGGTGGGTAAGTGGCTAGTGAATATGCAGATGGTGAATGGACAGATGGATTATGGATGGGTTGGTGAATGAATGAAGGAAGTGTAGATGGTTGGGTGAATTGGTGAATGGGTAATGCCTGGTGGGTTGATGAAGAGATAGATAGATGAGCTAGCTCAGAGATGAAAGAATAGATAGGTAGGTGAATAGATGGGAGATTGGTGGACAAGTTAGTGGATGGATGCATAAATTATTTGGTGGCCAAATAGATTGGGTCGGAACACTGATGCTCTTTGTCACATTAATTTGTCCATAAAAGCATTCCATTCCCTCCTCTCATCAGATAATAATTTCCCTGCCATGTATGTGTGTATGGGCAGAGGTGAAGGGGGTAGTTGGAAGGCAGAGATCGTTTCTCCTATCTCTCCCCAAGGCACGGTCCAGAATTCAGCCAGGGCAGGAGGCTGCTGGGGTGGCTGCAAGGGCCAGCTTCTCCCCTGCCTCTTGAGTGTCTCTCTGTCCCCCCTGACCAGGCTCGCAACAGCAGCCCTGGCCCCTTGGACTCCAGCACCTTCCTGAGCTCTGAGTTCCTCCTTCCTGAAGACCCCAAGCCCAGGCTCCCACCTCCTCTGACACCCCCACCTCTCTTCCAATACTCTCCCCCTGCCAAAGCCCTGGGCCTGGAGCCTTGTCCTCCACCCCCATTCCCACCCATGGCTCCACCCCCTGCTGTGCTGCAGGAAGAGTCTCTCTTCTCTCCCAGGCTTCCTTTCCCCACTGTCCCTCCTGGCCTGGGAGTATCCCCACTGCCTGTTCCCACACCCTTCCCACCTACCCCACAGCCCACCCCAGGCCCTACCACCAGCCCCTTCCCCATAAACCTCATGGCCACAGGCTGTCCAGAGCCCCTTTTTGGGCCTTGCTTCTCCACATCTCAGGGCACATGGCCCAGAGGCAAGCCACCCTCTAGGGGACGGAAAGCCAGACCCCCCACCTTGGCCCCAGCCACTGCCAGCCCCACGGTTGCGGCCACTGCTGGGGGCAGCAACCCCTGCCTCACACAGCTGCTCACAGCAGGTGAGAGGGGAGAGACAATGTCCTTGGCAGAGGGGAAATAGGGGGCCCATGGGAGCAGAGGGTAGGGTTGGGTGAAAGGACAGGCTTATCCTGGGGGACATGGGCCCTGTACTTGAGAGGGGAATGGCTATTAGGAGGGGTGAGGTGGGGTCTTGAGAGATGATGGGGGGCCAGCCCCAGCAGCCCTCACAGTTCTGCCTGTGCACAGCCAAGCCTGAGCAAGCCTTGGAACCACCACTTGTGTCCAGTGCCCTCCTCCGGCCGCCAGGGTCCCCGGTAAGATGGCAGGCCCTAGGAGATGGGGGTGTGACCAAGGCCTTCACCCTGATTCTGTACCTTTCTCCACCCCAGCAGGAGACGGTCCCCGAATTCCCCTGCACCTTCTTTCCCCCAACCCCAGCCCCTACACCAGCCCGGCCACCTCCAGGCCCAGCCACACTGGCTCCATCCAGGCCTCTGATTGTCCCCAAGGCAGAGCGGCTCTCACCCCCAACACCCAGCGGTAAAGAGGGTCTGCAGGGACTGGGGGAGTTCAAGGGATGGAGGGAGGAGCAGGAAGAAGGGGGTACTGCATCTGGGGCCAGGATGAGAAGAGCAGGGCAATGGGACCCTCTCCCTTGTGTCGGTCTGTCTGTGGGTCTGTCTGTCCCTGCCACAGGCAGTGAGCGGCGGCTATCAGGGGAGCTCAACTCCACACCTAGCCCAGGGACCCTGAGCATCCGCATCTCACCACCTCAACCCATCATACACCGGGGCCGTGCTGACAATAACAAAGTGGGTACCATCCTCCCAACTCAAGATCGGGTTGCTATCCTGAGGCCCTCCTGGGTCCCTTTCTAGGCTAACCATACTATCTGTTCCCCAAGACCGAGAATCGGCGTATCACACACATCTCTGCAGAGCAGAAGCGGCGCTTCAATATCAAGCTGGGGTTTGACACCCTTCACGGGCTTGTGAGCACACTCAGTGCCCAGCCCAGCCTCAAGGTGAGCCCCCAGCCCATGCTGGCACCCAGAGAACCATAGGGCTTCTTCCTTGGCACCCCCAGAGCACTTTGCCTCCTCCTGCCCTTGGCACCCCCAGAGCACCTCCCAACACCTTTGCCTCCTCCTGCCCTGTGGGTCCCAGAGTGAGGCAGCCTTCATTGGCTGAGCCCACCCTGGTGGCACCTACAGGTGAGCAAGGCTACCACACTGCAGAAGACAGCAGAGTACATTGTCATGCTGCAGCAGGAGCGGGCGGCCATGCAGGAGGAGGCCCAGCAGCTGCGAGATGAGATCGAGGAGCTCAATGCTGCTATTAAGTAGGCAGGGTACCTGGGGTGGGGAGTGTTGGGGCCAGGGGAACATGCCATCTGACCCCAACCCTGACTCTCTACGCTCCCAGCTTATGCCAGCAGCAGCTGCCTGCCACAGGGGTGCCCATCACACACCAGCGTTTTGACCAGATGCGAGACATGTTTGATGACTATGTCCGAACCCGGACACTGCACAACTGGAAGTTCTGGGTGGTATCCTCACTCAGACCAGTGGTCTGGGGACCTCAGGAGCCGTGGTGAGGTGAAGGCTAAAGCTAGACCAGGCTGTGCCCAAGATGCAGGCTCAGCTTTGCAAGCCAGGAAGGCTCAGAGCTGCTCCCAAGGGAAGAGGCTCAGGCTCTGCTCCCTGCTTCCAGATGCTTGGCATCTGGACCGGCAGGATTGTCCAGTGATGGGCTGTGAGTGGAGAAGAAAACTGGGAATGGGGGCAAAGACAGTTTGGGAGAACCTAGACTCTGAGAGGTATGAGGCCCAAAGAAGGCACGGAGTTTACTTCTTTGCCTGGCTCAGGAGTCAAGCTCTTAACCAAGCCAGGGCAGGGAGCCCAGGGATGAAGGATGGTCCAGCACACAAGAGCCACAAAGGAACTAGGAGGGGAGGAGGACGCTGATAGCCAGAGAACTGGGCAGGCCTCGGCAGTATGGGAGGGGGGACTATGATGATATGATGAGAGGAGGGGCTGCAGCGGGAGTCCTCAGGGGTCAAGGCATTGCCCAGGCCCTTCCTTCTCCTGGTTTGGGTCAGGTATCCAGGGCACATGTGAAGGGATGGGGTACCATTTGGACAATGGGCCTACTCCTTGACCTGGGCCCAGTTCAGTGTCCTCATCCGGCCTTTGTTCGAGTCCTTCAATGGCATGGTGTCCACAGCAAGCCTGCATAGCCTCCGCCAGACCTCACTGGCCTGGCTGGACCAGTACTGCTCCCTGCCTGCTCTCCGGCCAAGTATGTGAACCATCTGCCTGCCCACCAGAGTGTCCGGGCCTCAGGGTGGGGGGTTCTTCCCTGCTCAGACCCCAGGTCCAGCCTGCTTTCAACACAGCCTAAGGTTTTGGCCACCTACCATGTCCCCTGGACTATCAGGACTCCTGCAAACAAAGATCCTGGGAGGGACTGATGGTCTTGCTAACTGGTGTCTTTCCCCATTGTTTCGACTTTACCGCCAAGGGTAGAACCCTGACCCCAGTTTTCTTTTTCTCCTCCCCTAGCTGTCTTGAACTCCCTACGCCAGCTGAGTACATCTACAAGCATCCTGACTGACCCAGGCTGTATCCCTGAGCAAGCCACGCGGGCAGTCACAGAGGGCACCCTTGGCAAACCTCTGTAGCCCTGGCCATAGCTTGCTGCTCACTCAGCTGCCCTGGGGCTGCCTTCCCTGGCATGGGCTCCAGAGATAACTCCTGGGCACTCCTCTCCCACCCTGGGTCCTGGCAATCCCCTTCCCTGAGGGTTGCAGGGTCCAAGTCTCATGCTTCCCACCTCCTAGAGGCTGAGAAGAGCTGAGTCCTTGTCCCTGCTCTACCACTGTGTCCTAGCACTGTGACCCTGGGTGACTCATAGCCACTCTTTGGACCTCTGTTTTCCAATCTGCAAAATGGAGATGGGGAAAATTCAACCACTAGATGACCCAAGATCTTAGCAAATATGACATTGAGGGGGCCTAAGCTGGCAACCCCAAAAGCTCAAAGGAGGGAAGAGGATGTTTCCCTGTCACTCCCACTTGCTTCCCCACGGGTGGGACACAGGCCTCTTCCTGAACACAGAAGCAGAACAGGAGGTTCTCTCTCTCTGCTCCTTCACTGGTGACCCAGAGGGGCTGCAGGATGGCTTCCCCTGGGTGAGACTAGGAAGGTCTGATCATGGGAGAGACCAGGGTTGGGGTGGCCAGAGCAGGGCAGGCATCCTGTGTGTGTGTGTGTGTGTGTGTGTGTGGACATGCGCGTGTATGGATTTTGTAAAGAATTCTTCACCAATAAAAGCAAAAACTGTCTGCTGGTGTGTTGGTGTGACTGTCAATGTGTCAGATTGGAGAGAAAGCCTGTTGGCAGTGGGAGGTGGCTTTGCGAGAGCCTTGTGGGCCAGGAAAGGGCCTGAGCTTTTACTCCGAGCTGGAAGCTGCTAGAGGGTTTCAGAGGAGGCAGGACAAGATCAATTGTTACTTCTCCACAGGTTCCTCCTAGGTGCTGAGTTAAGAACAGGGGGAAGCAGAGAGACCAGTTAGAAGGCTGTTGTTCTCATTCAGGCAGAGGTAACAGACAGGAGTTCTGGAAGGAAGGTAGAGCTGGACCAAGGAGTGGAAGTGACAGGGCCATCTACTGGAACCATCCAGAAGGAGAATCCCTTGGGAGGGTAGTAGTGACTTCCCTACTATTAGAGGTGTGTAAGCAGAGAATGGTTGGGATGTCTTAGAAGGAACTGATACTTCAAATGGGGGTTTGGAGTAGAAGGCCCCAAAGCCCTCAATCTTTGTTCATCCTTATTTATTGACTTATAGTGACATTATTGACATTGTTATAAATCAGTTATAATAGTTAATTAATTATTAATTATCATTAATTATTTTCATCACCATCTTAACAAATGAAAGACTGAGGCAAAGAGAGGTTCAGTTCCTTGCCCAAGCTTGCAAGGTTAGTGAGTGGATTAGAGGTGCCTACCTAGCCTATCTGAGTCTGCTTTGGGCTACCTCTGCTGCGAAGGTGGCAAGTGTACTCAGCCTCGTATGTTATTTGCTGCTTCAGACAGGCTGGAAGTAGCTGTCTGAAAGGGAGAATCCTGGCAGTTTGTGCTCTGCTGTTTTCACCCACTCACGCGCTATCAGAAAGTTTCCTGTTAATATCCCCTTGACCCTGTGACCCCTTCTAGATGGTTTCCTCCCTTGAAAGAGTCCTTTACACTTGCTAAGCTCTCCCTCCTCCTCTCCTTCTCACCCCTCAGTCCCCTGCACTTGGGCTCCTCCTCCTTTTCTTTTTCCTGCCTGGTACTCCAGCCACACCCCTAAGCTGACTCTGCCCTCCCTGAGCTCACCTCTGACTGACTCCCTCCTTGCACAATCCAATGTCTGCCTTGCAGTGCTCTTCTGGCTTCTCCAGGGCCCTTGGGCCTATTTCTTGAATGACTCCCTGGGAATCCAGAATTCTTGCCAGGATCCCCTTCCCCCTACTCAATAGTGACTTTCCAGTTCCTGTGGAGAGAGCCTCTTCCACTGCCTGTCCCTTCCTCAGCCACCACCCTTCTTGCTCTATGACAAATCCCAGGCCACACCACCAGCCTCTCTGCTGAGGACCCCTGACTCTGTATCTCCCTAGAAGAACTACACAACCAACTATGCAACTGCCACCTTGACATTTCTTCCTGAATAATCTCCACCACCCTTAATCTTGATGTGATTAGTATAGAAGTCATCATTGCCACAATCTGAACACTCACTGGTCCTCTCTGTACTGTTAATCCCCAAGAAAGATGCTACCACCCACTTGTGCAAGCTGGAAACCATCATCTTTACCTCCTCCCCACTATCTGTGCTATCTGTCACCCTTAAGGGCTGGCCATGACCTAAGCATCTCCCTGCACAGCTACTGCCCTGGTCCAATAGAACATTACCTGTTACATACACTTGTGTATTAGCCTCCTGTACCCCTTACAGCTGCTTCTCAAACTTAAATGTACATTTGAATAACTTGAGGGGGGGGATCTAAAAAACTTCTTGATCAGGTCCAGTCTGGACAACTTAAATCAGAATCACTGGGTGTGATATCTTGATATTAGCATTTTTTAAGGTGATTCCAATTTTCAGCTACAGTTAAGAATGCCTGTAATAGAGGCTTTGGGCTGCAAATAACATGCTTGGAGCTCAAATTAGTTTAAATCAGTGGTTCTTAATTTTTACAACACATCAGAATTAACTAGAGGCTTATTAAAATACAGATGGTAGGGCCACACCTCGAGAGTTTCTGAATAGGAGTCTGTAATGGAGTCTCAGAATTTACATTCCCAATACTCCTGGCACAGGGACCACACTTTGAGAACTGCTGCTTAACAAGGAGCAACATTTCCATTTCACCTAACATAGGCCAGAGGCAGGGAGGGCACTAAACAGTGCAAGCTGGAGCTGCTGCTACTGTTTTTTTTCTTTTTTTTTTTGAGACAGAGTCTTACTATGTTGCCCTCAATAGAGTGCTGTGGTGTTACAGCTCACAACAATCTCAAACTCCTGGGCTCAAGTTATTCTCTTGCCTCAGCCTCCCAAGTAGCTATGACCACAGGTGCCTGCCACAATGCCCGACCTTTTTTTTTTTTTTTTTTTGGCATCATGGCTCACAGAGACCTCCAACTCTGGGGCTTGAGGGA